GAAGCCTAGATTTATGTTTCTAAGTCTAATGACAGCCAGAAAAATTGCTCAGACAGAATAGAAAAGATTGGTAACTTCTCCTTCTAGGAAAAACAAGGAGTCTTGGAGAAACCCCAGATTTCAGACTTGAGGGACAATGTTGTCCTGGAGGACGGTTCATTATAACCCTTTATAAAGGGTCTCGCTGAGTGGGGTTCATTATTGTTGTTGCATGTTTTTGTTTGCCATGGCCAGAATGGCGGAGCCTGAGTTAGAGCAACAAACACTAAATTTCCTGTTAAACTTGGTGAGAGTAGAAGTGAAATCAGGGACATGTTGTCCAAGCTCCTGGGGATAACACCGTGGGGGAAACAGCAGTGCACATATGGATTAAACATATTTTTCTGAGGTGTAGGAAAGGGTCACTGATGCAGAGAGGTCAGGGAGGCCAGCAAGGAGCAGGACTGGTGAAAACATTACAGAAGTTCACAGAACTGTGCATCACAGTCGCCAGGTGGCGTGAGAAGCGGAGCAGACCAAGTAAACATTGACAGGGAGACAGGACACTTGGGGTGGGGCATCCGACAACAGCTCTGACGGCTGTTCCAGAGGAGAGTTCTGAAATTGCTCTGCAGGGTGGACTAGGAGCTGGTGCACCGCTTCTGGAGGGGGAATTACTTTGAAGGAGACCACCGTGTACTCAGCAAAGAGGCATGTAGCACTTTCTCTAGGATGAGTTCACAAACTTAATTGTCATGCCTTGAATACTTTACTATTATAACAGAATGGTTACAGCTCAGACCTGTGTTTAGACAGATAGACTTGAGGGAGTACACAGAGTTAATGGTGATGACTTTTGTCCTGGTCTCTATTTTTTCAATACTCTTCAATATACTTCATTTGTTTTCATAATGGAAAAAGACAGAGACTTAGAGCCTGTTCATTTTGGACTTAATGTTTGAGGGATCTAAAATATCAAAGTGACAATAAATAATAAACAATTGGAAACAGGCTTGGAATTCAGCCCTGGGCTGGAACACCTAGACGTTCAGTGAATGTTAACTGAACGGAAGCTCTGGCCCTTTCCCTTCCCCTGGGACAGGACCCCTGTACCCTAATGAAGTGTATTAGAGTTTTACCATCATTTGAACTTATATGGGCTCATCTTAATGGGAGGGAGAAAAATCTCTTCCCTTTTGCAACTACGAATCTGAAACAATTGAGAGGACTGTCCTTCCCTGAATAAGAGCAATCTTAATCATCTAATCTCAATGCCATAGAAAATGCCTCATTGCAAGCATATCATTTCATAACATTTTTTTCTTGTACGGAAGGAACATTGATTGCTTTTCTTAATATCAGTATCATTTTTCTTATGTAGTAATTCTTATTCAAGGGCTAAAGTTTGCATTCACTATTTAAAATTTTTTTTGAGATAGTCTCACTCTGTCACCCTGGGTAAAGACAGAGTCTCACTCTTGCTCAGGCTGGTCTTGAACTCCTGAGCTCAGGCAATCCAAGTGCCTTAACCTCCCAAAGTACTCGGATTACAGGTGTGAGCCACCATGCCTGGTTTTCAAATTTTTAATGAAATAAAACCCAGTGGGGGAGGGCGCCTATGGCTCAAAGGAGTAGGATGCCGGCTCCTTATGCCAGAGGTGGTGGGTTCAAATCTGGCCCTGGCCAAAAATAAATAAATAAAAATAAAACCCAGCCTATTGAGCTTTGATGGACTTTTGACAATGTAGATATTTTCTAGTTAGAGAATTCGGTTCATTCATCTGGCATGCCGTATGCTGACTGTGCGCCTGCATGTGTTTTGGTTTAAACATTTTGGGGGGGGCGGGGGCAGAGTAATGTTTAGAAGGAAGTATTGTTTCTCATTGTTGCTGTAATAAATTGGAGACGTGTAAAGTGGGGGTGGGGGTAACATGAGGTGTCACCCTGGTTCCCATGAGGACAGGTCCACGCACCCCACCTGCACACATGGGCTTGATGGTACCTGCCCAGTGTCTGTGACCACACACGCATGTGAGACCATTTCACACACTAGTCACGGGGGCTGGTGCTTTTCAGAGCCCAGCTCTTCTGCAACCTCTTCAGACTGACTAGCGGTGGGAAGGAAATGGTGCATTTCCAGGTTATTCGCTATACCACAGACGGTGTGGACTAACACAAAATGAACAGACAGGCAGAAATTTGGGGTATTTTGGTATCAGGAGGCAGCCAAGGGGCAACCTACTGAAAGGAATTCCTCACCAATTTTTCACAGAGTCTAAAATTCCCACTGGGAGTCTTAGATTCCCCAAACCTGAGATCCGTGACTTATACCTTATAATGATGACTAGAGGAATTACTCATTCCTTAGTGGCTGCTTCATTAATTCCTTCAATCCCACTAGCAGTGTGGCCCCTGAGACAAGGGACCAGGGAGGTAAGTTAATACGCAGGTGACAAGACAGTAAGGACGTAAGAAAACCCCAGACCAGAGCACAGACGGGCCCTTCAGGCTCCCAGATCACCAGAGGCCAGGGCAGCGCGAGGGGCTTGAATCAGCCACACCCTCCTGCATGGAAGTTAGTAGAATAAAGGCCACAAGACACCAAAAGAAAGGGGAAGTGACATGGCCTCTCAGTGTCTGTAACAGTCGTGGTGTGTCCACGGTTGGCAGGGCTAGTCCAAGTGCCCTGTGTGTGTCATCGCACTACACACACAGCCACCTCAGGTGGGAAGTGCAGGGCCGCGCTCATCTTACAGACCCGGGACTGAGGCCCCGGCGTCCTGGGCACTCTGACCGGCTCCCCAGTCCTTGCTTTTACGCCTGTGTTACTCTGCCTCTCAGACAACCTTTATGTAAGGCTTCAGGGCCTCTGGAGAACGGTGGGGGAAAAGTGGAAGTGTGCGCTTGGCAGAGCGCGTTCCACCCAGGGCCAGGTGGCTTCTACCTCGTTTCCTGAAGTCTTATAAAATACGGACCAAAGAAGTGCCTGCCTGTTCTGAGAGACTCGTGGGGGGCCTGGAGGATCCTACAACCCTAAATCTTCAGTCTCACCCTAGGATGTTTTCTTGAGTTGAGGCTCATTGAACCTAAGGGATTTGATTTTGTATTGTTATATACACACACGCACATTACACACAAACGTATATACACACACACACACACACACACATATTTGGACTTTGTACCTGAAATGTGGGTAAGAATAGGGTTCCTTGGTGGCCTTTGATCCCATTAGAGAGTTCTAAACTGGTGACTCGGTCCTTGAATGAAAGCAGGTATTAGAATGACACCAGGCTGCAGTCATAGGAGATTTGGGGTGTAATGTAGACATCACGGGAACCGAGACTCGGGGAGCATGAACTGAGTTTCCTTTGGCTTCCTTTGACCCCTCCTGACTTTCCTTCCACTCTTCAGTGACTGTTGACGCCCATCTTCACAGAGCAGGGACACAGCGACCCCTGAGGTCCCTTCCTCCAGCGGGGGTTGGGAGGCTGTCAGAGCCTCATGTTGACGCCCATCTTCACAGAGCAGGGACACAGCGACCCCTGAGGTCCCTTCCTCCAGCGGGGGTTGGGAGGCTGTCAGAGCCTCATGAACAGCAGCCCCCTCCTCAGCTCTCCTGGAAAACCCAGCGACAGATGCTGCTGATGGGTTCGAGATTCCCCAGGTTCCGGCTCTACTCCACCGGCTCCTTCTCACACTGTTTCTCTTCCACGAGTCTTCACTTCATCACGTTGGCCTTTTTTGACGCCTGTCCCAGTAACCTGTGTTTGCACATGCGCTGGGCCAGGACGGGGTGAGACTGACGGTCTCCCTAAATTCTGCATCCTGGGCGCCCACTTGCCGAGTGCACCCCAGACACAGTCGTAGAGCTGGCCGGGAGATGGCCCTCACTCCCCACCTGACGGTCAGCAGGAGACATGTGCAGGAGCCCATGGATGTCGTTAAATTGTCTCAGATCATTGGTTACAGATCATTGCCACACGTTTTTCCTCATTCTCTGTAGCTGATTACATAATGAACTCAAAAAAATAAAGTAGTCAGTCATTTGGGTATATGATTTTATTTAAAATAACTTACCGATTCTGCTGAAAACAATGTTTTAATACTCCCCTATCAAATTCTCAGAATTAGTCTAAGGTAGAGCATTTTAAATTCTGTCTTTTACCAACTGGATAGAAGAATGAAACTCTCTGCTCTTCTGCCTTAATAAAAAAAATAAATAAATGCCAAGGTAAAAGTATGTGGACCTCAGGTGGACTTATATCTTACTGCTTTGAGGGTGCTTTTCTGGCAGTGTCGGTAGCTCAGTGGGTAGGGCGCCAGCCACATATGCCAAAGTTGGAGGGTTTGAAGCCAGACCAGGCCAGCTAAAGCAACAATGACAACTGCAACAGAAGAATAGCTGGGCACTGTGGCACACGCCTGTCGTCCCAGCTACTTGAGAGGCTGAGGCAAGAGAATGACTTAAGCCCAGGAGTTAGAGGTTGCTGTGAGCTGTGACACCACGGCACTCTACTAAGGTCAAAAGCTTGAGACTCTATCTCAAAGAAAAAGGAAAAGAAAAAAAGTGCTTTCTTAAAATTGTAGTCAATCACATCATTATTTTGAACAGGGAGAGCTAATTTCCCCATTGGCTTCTGAGTTAGATTTGGGGGCTCACACTGCAAAGCTTCAGGAGGAAAGCAAGGTACGAGATTTGATGCTTAAGGCCGCAGCTTCTCAGCCAGCGTGACGCTATCTCCGCTTCCTCTCTCTGCCTTTGGCAAAGTCTGATTCGGGTGTGGGGAGCTGCTCCCCCAAGCCTGTCCACTTGTTTGCTCTTTGCAGCCTGTGGGGACCCTGTGTACTGTCCATTTGGCTGGAGATATTTATTACATCGGGGCCACGCTGGCTGTCTTATCGTATTACACGTATTTTCCTCTCTTCAGGCAGTAGATTTGTAAAGATGTAAATAATTTACCAACAAGTTTCTATTAAAGCTTTTAAATATTCTTTTTTAATTTTTTTCTTAATTATAGAGCAAAGAGATTGCATTCCAACTTCATGAGGATTTAATGAAGGTTCTCAATGAGCTATATACGGTAAGCATATAATTTTTCTTATTTTGCACAAATTCTGGAGTTAGGGCCTGGTTTGCAGAAACACTGCTCATTTTAGAATTTATTCTAAGCCAGAGGGTCAGTGGATACCCAGCTGGTTGATGTATGTGACCAAGAGGACAGATGCTACTGTATTCCTTTGTAACTCCTGCCTAATTTAGACAGACTCAAGTAAATTGAATGCATATGATGTGTGTATGCATTGTATGTATGTAACTTAATCTACTGAAGTATAGACACCTCAATTCCAAAATATTTTTTAAATTGTTTCCATTCTGGGACTTGAGAAATTTAGAGTTGCTTTATTCTGGTGCTTTATTATCTTTTTTTCCCCATTTTAGTACAAGTAATTGTTTGGCTAATGACATATATACTAAAATTACTTTGAGGGTATTTATTTTTCCTCCTTGCAATAAATTACTTTTTAATTTTTTTGCATTTTATTGGGGTACTGCATGCAATCATAAGAAATTAAATAATTTAAAACTATTTTTTAGAAAAACTAAAACAAATGACATTATAAATTGGAATTATTAAAATGCCTATGTAAGGTAAAATTCTTTTTTACATGTAAAGATTATGTTGCTAAATACAAATTTATTTGGGGGTGTTTGAAGACTTTTTTTAAAAAAGAGAATAAAATAACATAATGAGAACTGAATAATATTAGTTTATACTAATGATAGATATTTGCATTTTCACTGTACAATGAAATTTGTATTTGAATTTTTCTTGGAAGCAAACTAAACCTGAAATTTATTGTTGAATGTGTTTCTTGATTTAACAATTCCATTTATTCCCAAAAAGTTGTGTGTGTAATATACAATTTTATGAATTAAATTTGTGATGCTCCATCAACATGTACCAATCAAAGGAACCATAAACTAAATGCTTACAAAGTGAAAGATATTTTTATAAAATGAACTTCCTGCATTTACGCGTGTGATAAATCTGCATTTTTATAGAGCACATTGGCGACGTCTGTCCACGTGAATTGAATCGAGGGCCTCTGCACATTAACTCTTCCTTGAGACACTTTTATTTCTGTGTCAGCCTGCAGAAGTCTTGTGTCATAAGGTTACAGCTGCACACCAAATCCTAACCAAGTTGAGTTTTAGATGATAAAAGCCAATTACTAGCCCACACGTTATGTGGTTTGTTAATTTCTGATAACCTAAGCTATCAGTCATTTCTGGAGGCCTTATAATTTAAAAGTTAAATGATCCTTGTGCCTGGGAGACTTTCAAAGACAAACAAGTAGAAAGTCTGTGTCATCTTTCACGAACTAGGTTAAGGTGAGGACTTTCTGGTACTTTCCTGTGGTTCCTCTGCTTGGGACTTGTTTTACCTGGGATTATAAATGAGTCCTGATACTTACAAACTGAGTCTCAGTCATCACAGCACCGTGGACAGGGGCCTGCTGGTCATGGTCTGGGGCTAGTCATGGTCACAGCAACAGTGCAGAGGTCAGCCGGGTCACCAAATATAAGAGACCGTCTGGAAGTGCTGTCTCAGGGAGGGGCGTGTGTGACACACACAATGAAACCTCTCCTAGATCCGGCCTGGGATTGGATTTAGTCCGTCAGCAGACTCAGGGGGTTTGATCAGCGAGCTGACAGCTCCTCAGAAGTCTTACCAATCTCAGCCTGGAAGCCTGAAGGAGCAGGTTCTGCAGAGGGCACCTGCGCCGGAGTGCCCCTCAGAGTCCTCTCCCCTCTCAGAGGCAGGGGAGGAGGAGGCAACGAGGCTTTAGTTACAGCATCTGTATGTTGCTCGGAGCTGCTTCAACCAGAGGGCAGCTCAGCCACGGCCCGAGAGCATGTTCCCAGGGGAGAGAACCTCATGGCAACCTGCTCCCCTGAGACATGTATTTAAATGATCTGACAGGTGTAACTCACCGGGCTAAAAAGTGAAGAGTGAACCAAGAGCCTCAGACTCATCTTCTCACCCTAATTTGCTAATGAACTTGAGTTGAGTATTTGAAAGCAAGCTAATGGCTAGAATTAGCAGGTCCAGGGACACAGTTAAGAAACCTGGAGACGACTGTGCTATATTGGAGCAAAAACCATGGGGCTGTCAGTCGGCAAACTTGAGTTTGAATGATTGCGGTTGAGTGGTGCTGGGGAATTATTTAACCTCTGTGGGCATCTGTGTTAGTCTCTGTGTGTGTGTGTGTGTGTGTGTGTGTGTGCACTGAGTGACTGCAGGGAGTTGTTAGTCTGTGTGTGTGTCTGTGTGTGCACACTGAGGGACTGTAGGGAGTTGTGTGTCTGTGTGTGTGTCTGTGTGTGCACACTGAG